TCAAATTCAGGCTACGAGAGACCCAAGGCATGCTGGTGATCTTGAAAAATTCAAGTATATCACCTTCATCGCCAGGGAATACGCAACAGAAATTGAGGAGAAATGCAAGGCGCTTGGAGAAGCCGAAAGGCGGATCCAAGCCCTCACAGAAGAGAGAGAAAGCGAGATAACAGTGATGAAGAAGAAGCTTGAGGATGCCGAAAGGCAGATACAAGCTTTAAAGAAAGAAAGGGCGAGTGCATGCGCCCAAGTAAGGCCAAAAGCCTTAACAGTGAAGCCTACTTTGGCTGAAAAGCCAAAGAAGGCTGTGACCCAGTCGTACGCGACTGCGGTCAAACAAAACAACACTTTGAAACCAAAGGGAGCGGTGCGACACGTCGTCACCGTTTACCTTAAAGAAGAAGGGAATAAAGATAGCAAGGCAACGAAAGTTGCCTTGCAAAAATGCTTTAACCCCAACCAGGATAGGTTGAGGGTTAAAGCCATAAGAAACATAAATAAGGGAGGCATCCTCGTCGAAACGGCGACGAAGGATGACCTCGAGAAGCTCGTTAAGAGCGGTAAAGCGAAAGAAAAGGGACTGAAGGTCACAGTCCCGACAAAGAAGAAGCCAAAGTTGGTCCTGTACAACGTACAGGACCTGTCGAAGGAAGAGCTGCTTGCAGCTCTCAAGTCGCAAAACGACGACTTGCCAACAGACGATATTAAGCCGCTGTTTAAAACAGCAAAAGGCAAAAATTGGGTGGTGGAAACATCACCCAAAACAAGGGAACAGATACTGAGCAAAGGCAGATTGTTCCTCGGCTGGCACGCCTGTCGCGTACGTGACTACGTCGTGGCAGGCAGGTGTTTCCGTTGTCAAGCGTTTGGCCATATAGCCAAACACTGCTGGGCAAAGGCAGACATCTGCGGGCATTGTGCTGCCGAGGGTCACTGCTACAAAGAGTGCCCAAACAAAGAGAAAGGACCTTCTTGCATAAATTGCAAGAGGGCCAAGAGACCGCATAATCACTCATCCAGAAAGGATGAGTGTCCCGCCTATAGAAAGGCAATAGAGACCCTAGTCTCCAAGACAGACTACGGGGACTAAAGAACCGAAAGATGGTGAAACTCCACCCGAACGACGGCGCGGGCATAACGACCT